TAGTGTTGTTTATGAACAACCCCATGCGAACACTAGTAAAAAACAAAAAGACATGCGTACACTAGTAAATCTTCATATTTCCTCTGTCATTTGCTGCTAATGAGTTTCTTGAATTGTCAAACTTTTAACAATTTTGATATTAAACTTGTTATAAGATTTTTTAAACATTCGCTTTTATTTTCTATGCAGGGAAAGACATTAATGATTCAAATGTTAAATCATTTAAGTTTTAATAAAGTTGGAAAAAAATGGTTTCATAACCTATATATAATAATAGTTGCGCGTAAAATTTGTAAGAAACTATCTTGTAAAGAAAGAGTTAGAATTGTACCAACCATAGACTTTCCAATTCTAGAGAGATTAAAAGAGAGATTAGCATTATAAGAACTTCACTTTAACTCCAGATCCTAAATGCTTATCAAGAAAAATGCATTTTAGCTCGCCAACAAAAAGTAACAAAATTATAGGACTTTAATTTTTCATGAACAACGATTTCATAATAAAATAAAAATGCAAAAACTAACTTAATAATATTTAAAAAGTAAACTATTATATGAATTAAATAGCAGCATTAGCTGTAACTAGTGAATCATAACACCAGAAATAAAGCCATAGATGAGACGATATTTTCATTCACAATCCAAACTTTCAAAACAAATTAATTATAAACCCAATATTTTTAGTTTAGCATTAACACTTTTTAAATGTGTTAACTCCAAATTTCTTAACAATCATAACATGTTTAAACTGATTTCAAAATACACTGAGGTGTAACCATAACATGTTTAAACTGATTTTAAAATACACTGAGAGATTTTAAAATACACTAAATTTTTTAACAACCATAACATGTTTAAACTGATTTTAAAATACACTGAGAGATTTTAAAATACACTAAATTTTTTAACAACCATAACATGTTTAAACTGATTTTAAAATACACTGTTCCTACTAAAAAAAGTTCTATAGAACTTCTGTAAACTTTTGAAATATGTGACTATAGAAATTCTATAGAATTTTTTTATAGAATGTGTATTAATTTCTATAGAAATTGCAATAACTTTTTTTTATAGAAAAAAAAAAATGAAAAAAAAGTTCTTTAGAAATTAGCAAAGATTCTATAGAAATTCTATAGAATGCTATAAAATTTCAATATGTTTCAAATGTTAATAGAAATTTTTTCCTGTGTTGCACTTAACCCAGGAAAAAAGTTCTATAGAATTTTATATGAACCTTTGAAACATATGCCCTATAGAAATTCTATAGAATTCTAAAGAATTTCTATAGAGTTTCTGTTAACATCTATAAAAAATCGTATTGAAATTTTTTTTTCTACTTTTTTTTTATAGAAAAAAAAAAGTTTTATAGCAATTTCTATAGAAGTTAATAGACATTCTATAGAAATTCTATAGAGTTTCTATAGGCCATATATTTTAAAAATTTATAGAAAATTCTATAGAACTTTTTTTCTTGGGTATAGTTCTCTATTACAAGCTTTGGTGTGACTATTAAGACTTTTTCCAAGTTCCACTCAACCGTTGGCTGAGTGAAACATTCAAAAAACTAAGTTTTTTTAAAGACACTTTTTTTTGTTTTCGTTTTTGATTTTGTTTTGTTTTAGGTTCCCCAAGAAGACCTATTGGTCTTGTCACAGAGCACCGCGGAAGAGAATTTAACTTAAAGTTCACACCACCTTCCTTACCGATGGTTCAAAATATGGCTAGAGCTCGTATTGAACCCCGGATCTTATGCTTCTTAAGCAAGTGCTCTAAGCACTGCGCCATGGCAGTTCGTTTCAAAGACATGTTTTAAAGACACCTGAACACTATTATGTTGCCTGGCAGCAAAAACCTAGTAATATTTAAGTAGTTTCAATATTAAAGTCATTTTAGAGTAGCCAATAGCAAGAAAATTTATTTTGATTTGTTGACAATTGCAGAATAAGTATCTTTGTTAGGCTTTTCGCCCATATAATTATAAAGCTAAGCTTCTTACAGCTTGTAAAGCTTCTTGCCTTTATAATTTTTTTGAAACCTATTTCTCAGATATAAACTAGAGATGTAATCGTCTTTATGTATTTTGCTATATAATAATATTTTATAATAATATTTTTATATTATTTAATTCCAAGAAATTTGAAACTTTTGTTACACTTCTGATACACCTCTGTTAATTTTTTAGTATGAAACTTTCTGCTTTCTTTGTCAAAAGCAAGTTTCAGATCGGATAAAAAATGCGTTTTATTATAGTGTTTATTATAGTGTTTATCACTTAATAAAAATCATAGCGAAAGAAACTTTTATCACTTTATATACATGTTTTGCTGAATTTGTAAAATATTTACCTATTTAGGTATATACATAATTTTTTTTTTTATGTTGATTTAGGTGCCCCAAGAAGTCCTTACGGTCTTATCACAAAGCACCGCGGAAGAGCATTTAATAGGAAGTTCACGCCTCCTTCCGAACCGATGTCGCAAAACTTGCCCAGAAGTGGGTTTGAACCATGGATCTTACGTTTCTAAGGCAAGTGCGCTACCACTGCGCCACGGCTGCTATAATATATAATATATAATTAGGAGAAAAGAAACATTATTAATTTAATTAAGTATAGAAGCAATCAGGTTCACAATAAGATAAATTTTCATAACAGTTGCTTGATTTAATAGCAAAACTTATATGCAACAAGCAACAATTAATCTATGATTTAATTTTTGCGATCTATATTTAAAATTTGAGATTCAACTCAAATTTAAACACTTGATGTTTTTCACATTTATGCGTATGCCAATACGACTAATTAATACTTTGTTCTATTTAAATAGTCTATTGCTAGGGAGTTTATTTGATTTTAATTCTATTAAGTAGAAAAATGGTAAAAAGCTATTTTATATTTTAATTTATTTATTCACGCAGACAAGTTGCATTTCTTGTAAATACTTATTTGTCTTAAAATACGATATATATTTCTTGTTTTAAGAAATAGATTTTTCACCCCGCAATTTATTTCTTATAATAAGAAAAAAACAATCGTGATTTAAAACTTATATTTATTTAATTACTTAAATTTATTTCTTAAAATATAATCCTACGTATGTTTGTTTTAAGTATGTTTCTTGTTTTAACGTATGTTTCTTGTTTTAAGAAATAAATTTCTTAATTATGGACAATGGATTTACGATTTTGTTGTGAATCTTAAAACAAGAAATTAATTATTTGTTTTAAGAAACAAATTTTTTAACCCGCAATTTATTTTTTAAAATAATAAATGTATTTCTTATCTTAGAATATAAATTTCTTAAACTATGGAAAATGAATTTATAATTTACTGTGCTAATATTCGAGCGCAGCGCGTATGCTTTTAACGTAAAATATATATATATTTTTTTGGTATTTTCCTTTCATAGCCAAGAACAAAATTCCCTGATATTAGGAATCAAAAATCTAATAAAATTTTTTTCGGCCCTAGTGTATAGTCTGAACTGCAAGCAAATATATTTTATAGTTATCGAAGTTTCTTACAGAGCTAGAGTTTATACTCCAGATGACTTTAAAGTAAATATTAATACAAGTCACCCTAACAAACTGTCATCATCCTTCTTAGTTCCAATAAACTGTTTTTGCTTTTTCAATTCCAAAAAAGTTTTAGGAATTTTCTTAAATACCATCAGTTTTGTACTTAAATTCGTCTCCCGCTTTTGAGAAAACAATCAGTGCATGGGTTAAAGGTCACTTGAAACTACTTTCAGTGAAAATTGTGGTTTGAAAAAAATAGGGAAGAAGGTAAAAAAGTTAAGTACGTAAATAGTCAATTACGGAAAACTTAATAAAGAAATTTACGCTTGAAATTATAATGTAAATGTTTTCATTTTTTACACGTTTTTATTTTACTTTTTTTACTTTCAACTTTGAATCTTGCTTTTTTAGAAATACTGTAATAATAAAATAGTCTAACTTTATATAAATACAGATATCATTAATTCAAGTATGATTTCCATCAAATAATTATAAGTCCTATAAATATTTTGGAGAAAAGTTTATTAAAAAAAAAAAAAAAGCTGAAAAAAATTATTTAAATTAAAAGTTTTTTTGATATTAATTTACTATTTAAGATAATGATTTTTTAGTTCATAATTTGTTTCGCTGCAACATCAGTTTTTTATAAACATTAAAAAGTTATTTCTTAATATTAATAAACCTAAAAAAGAAGTTGATCATAAGCAAAATTCAAAATAGGTTTAATTGTGAAGCAATATATTATTAATATGTATTATATCATTAATATGTATTTTATAAAAAAAGAGAACAAGCAAATAGTTTGAAGATCAACCATTAGTTATTATCTAATTTTGCAAAAATTATTATTTAAAAGCAGTTCAAACATGGACGGCATTGATACTTCTTGGTTTTTGATGTTGTGGCCCAATACATAACCCCTAATTGTTCAATATATTCACCATTAGCTTTTTTCACTAACTTTTATGTATTTTTAAAAACATAAATGTAAGTTGAAAAAAAAAAGTTGAAAAACGCTTTAATTATTTTCTAATTTTTAAAGCTATTTTTGTTTTTAAAATTTTTAATTTCTATCTTTGAACTAGTATATATACAAAATTATTCTTTAAAATAGTATATATTTGTTGGAAAATAATGATTTATTTTTACATCCTTTATTTTTTACATATAAAAAACACTTTTTTTTGCTTTAGTCTGAAATTCTTTAATTAGTTTATAGAAACTTTAGGCTGAAGTCCAAAAACATTTTTTTTCCAAATAAAAGTTTCTTCATTATTATTATTTTTTTGTTAAAATGAACATTTTTACCACACACTCTGCAACTCTTTTAAGACGTTTTTTTTAATATAACTTATAAATTTAAAAATAAAAAATAAATTCAACATTAATTATAAATCTTAATAATAAATTAATTAACAAGACTTAATAAGAAACAAGTTAATAATGAAAGGAATGTTTAAGGTTTTTTTGTAGTAAAAAACAAACCTGCTCAATAAACTTCACCAACGCTTCCTTATTTTCTTTCCAATATCTTGGTAGATCTTTTGCATCTGGAAACTTATTACAGCCAAGTTCTAAAGTTATTTCCATAGTATCAGCTTCAACATAGTTGAAATCTTGCATCCCTCCAGCTACATTATACCATTTTGCTCCGTTTGTAATACCTTGCTTAAAATGATCTGGAGGAACACCTTTGCACTCCCATGGTGGATCATCCCAGTGCATGTATGGATGGGCGTATGAGTACGTTAATGCAAGTGCTTTAAAAACATCATCGTCAGGAGATGGTGTATATTCCGTTTGACCGGATGGGTTGTCGTCAAAAGGGTAATTAGCTACTAGTGATCCGCCGTGCAAGTTAGCAGATAAAACAAAAGGATGTCTTAAAATCCAAGCCATTGTTATGTTAGTTTCAGGTTCCCTAGGTTTATTATCATGCGGGAAAAATTGATCAGGAAAATTTCGATTAAGATCTACATCGTTTGCATTGTTACGACCTAAAAGCCAATCTACTCCACCATCTTTATAGGCCAATTCATAACCATCTGGATTCATGCTAGGCATAAAATGCATTCTAGTTTCATCAACTAGTCTTGTAAGTCGTGAGCTTTTTCCATACCCTCGACATAAAAGCTCAATAAGTTTTAACAACAACTCTCTGCCCACAACTTCGTTGCCGTGCATGTTTGCAACGTATTTAAACTCAGGTTCAAGAATTTCGTGCTTTGCAGGATTATCGCTGACAATCATTACCCACAACTCTCTACCTTTCACAGATTTACCAATGCTATATTTATGCGTTATCTTTGGATATTCACGTGAAATTTCATCCAGAAATCGTGTCATTGCTACGTAATTATGATGTTTCGGTCCTTCATCGTCATCAATTAAATCTCTTAAGGAATAATGTTCAAAGTTCAAAAAAGGTATTGGCAATGCGCTTGTAACGCATATTAAGTAAAGAAAAAAATACATGAAATCGATCTTTACAATGCGCCAGTAAAAATTATTTGAGAGGAAGAAAAATAAAAACTGCTTTCAAAACAGTCTACTGATAGAACGCTGTTTTGATAGCGTCTAACGATAAACAACGCAGTTTATATGCTTGTGCAGCACATGCGATGAATCAAAAGTGCAGTTGCACTTATCTCTATAGCAACCTTTTCCCCCCTTTAACAAGCATTCACCAAAATGCCAGAGGTTAAATAACTGAAATCTCTATTGAAATTGAAATTTAAAAAACACTGCAGAAATTGTTGCGGTTTTTATTTTTTTTTTGATCTTTGAAAATAAAAAATAAAAAAGGTTTTTTCATTTTAAAATTTACAAAACTTTACTTTAAAAACATAATATTTAAAACATTTTAAACGACATTAACACTACAAACAATTTTCTTTCTTGGCAATCATGTTCCGATAATCAAAATTCATCAAAAATTTATTGACCACGTTTTAAAAACTATAAAATTTTGAAAATAAATTTTGTATATAAGTTTAAATTTTAATTAAATTCTATTTTTATTATTCATTTATATTATATATTCATATTGATGTACTTAATATATTATATTCTGAATAACTAGTTAATATTAAATTGTTATACTATTTATTTGCCTACATATATAAATAACTAAGGGATTTTTTTTAATATTTTAACTTTGCCATTAATTCTTTTTTTTTAGTTTAGCAAATCACTTCAAATATTTGAGTTCCGTTGACGCATGAAGGCGTGTTGTTTGCCCCTAATGTGCGTGTAATGTGGTGTTTTGAGCATTTAGGCAGTTAGAATCGTTCAGGATTTTTCTTTTAACATCACTATTTAACATTTTTTAACTTTTTGACTTTTTTCTACAATAAAAAATCATAAAATAGCCAGTTTTTATTACAAATATACTAATTAGTTTTAATAAAAAATAGGCCGATTCCAATTCTTAAATTATATTTTGCGATTCCAATTCTTTCTCACATTGACTCTTTTGCAATTTGTGTTCTTTTTCTTTTTGCACTTTAACTTTTTAAATTACTAATATTTACTTTTTTTTAATAGGTATTATATAAATGCATTAACTATTAATTATTAATTTTGAAATGCACCTGTAATAACCAAGCCAAGATGCAGAATCAAAGGGATATCTGCCATTTTTTTTAAAATTTAGAACAGTACCATTGGTTCTTGGCTAAACATTGGCAACCAATGAGGAAAGGCATATTTGTATTAGTCTGGCGCGCCAATTTGTAAATGAATCAGGAACCAGTAAAGTTCACTGAAAAAAAGAAGAATTGCTAGATATTCGTATGACTTTAAAGATAGCAATATATATATATATATATATATATATATATATATATATATATATATATATATATATATATATATATATATATATATATATATATATATATATATATATATATATATATATATATATATATATGTGATGGCTATTTTAATTAGAGTTCAATAAAATGGTTATATTGAAATAGTAGATCTTTTAAATATAAATTGGTTCTTATTATACTTTTAAAATGGTAAATTTAAATTTGGAATTATTTTTAAGCGAAATTTGAAATTTTGTTTTGAAATTTAGGGTCAAATAAAATACTAAAGTCAAATACGGTAATAAAAATACTAAAGTCAAATACGGTAATAAAATACGGTAATAAAAATGTCTATTGACTCGAAAATATTTTGACTGATCATTGCTCATTGATATCAGTTTTACAAGAAACCTTTATACATCCATTTTTTGAAAACCCTTTGCTCTGTTTATCAATTCGTTTTGTTGCCTTAAATAAAATTGACAATGGTTTGTTAAATGCTAATAAACAAAGAAAATCTGCTATGAAAATATTTGCAGATGAAAGCTATCCCATTAATAGAAACAAATAGTTCTATCCCAAAATAGAAACAAATTGTGTTCTATTTTGAAGATAAGAAGAAGGCGATTGGAGCGTTGTGCCTCTGATACCGTAGTACTCCAACTTTCTGCTATAAATGGAATGACCAACTGTATCAAAGGCTTTCTTGAAATCAACAAAAACACCACATGCAAACAATTTTTTGTCCAAAGTTGTTCTAATTTTATCAGTTATTATCAATTAGTGCATGAGTTGTTGAATGATTGTTTCTAAACCCATACTGATTTTTTTAAAGACATTTGAATTTCTCCAGAAAGTTGTAGAGTCTATTATTGTATAGCTTTCTCAAATAGTTTTCTTATATTTGAGAGAAGAGAGATTGGGCAATAGTTAGAGCAATTCAGTAGAAAACTTTTTTTATGTATTGGTGCTACTGTAGCTAGTTTAAGGAGATCTGGGAAAATTCAATTTCTAAATAAGTTATCATTATGGATGACGTGGCTTTGAGATTATAGTTGGAATAAGCTCAAGAATAAATGCGGGAAAGCTGTTTAGGCCCAGACCTTTTTTGTTTTGAAGTTTTATTATGAGACTCGACACCTCAAACTCAGTCGCAAAGAAAAAAGAACTTTCATTAGGATTTTTTAGGGATATTTTTTTTGTTTATTAGGTTCTCTTGGATAGTAGCAAAATAATTGTTAAAATTATTAGCAATTGTGGTTGGATCAGAGATGACTTTATCATTTATTTTGAGGTTGAAAGAGTTATTGTATATAGTAGGTCTGATATTGATAACTTCTTCTATCCCTTTCCAAGTTCTTTTAATGCTGTTTAGGTTGTTGTTGAAAAAGGAAATATAATACATTTTTTTGGATTGTTTAAGTATTTTGCTTACTTTATTTATATACGACTTAAATTTATCAAAAAGTAGATTTCTTGTATTAATATTGTTTGATTTAACACATTTTATATAAATGACATTTTTGGTTGAGGTGGATTTAAGAATACCAGCGGTTATCCATGGTTTAGATTTAAGTTTAATTTGTTTTTCTGTTAAAAACTTGTTGGGAGCAAGTCTGTCTAGATCTTTTTCAAATGTATTTAAAAAACTTATCATTAACTTGTTTATATTTTCGTCTTTTATTTGTTCCTCCCAGTTCTTACTAGATATTACCTTGTATAAAAGTGTCAGCATCAAGGTTTTTGAAGCATCTTCTAGAGATTTTTGCATTCTTTTTTTTTGGGGGTAATACCAGGAATACAGAAGAAATAGGGCCATGTGGTCTTAAATAGAAATTGTTAGATTGCCAGAGATTGTTTCAGGAGAATAGGAGTTTATAAAAATATTATCAATGAGAGTTTTAGTTTTTGAAATTATACGTGCTGGAAGAACAATGGTTGGGAGAAGTAAGCAAGAGCATAATGTTTGGGGATAGTTAGAAACAATAGGAGATTCTCTATAATTAATTAAATCCATGTTTAAATCACCGATTAATAAAATGTTTCTTTTTTTTTCCATAACATAATTTCTCAAGTAAAGGAGTTAAATGGTTTGCGATAAATTCTTTTGGATTTAAAGTTGGATGACAATGTATGCAGCCAATTAAAGTATCGGTTTTATGAGGGCTGATAGCTTCAACAAAAACTGATTTGAGAAATTTTGAGGCTTAGATTGTAAAATCATCACGAACTACATAGTTAAGATTAGTTAAGATTAGAGTTTAGATACAGAAAAGCCCCTTTTTTGTCTCAGTATAGGAATTTTTTGTCTCCCCTTTTTTGTCTCAGTATAGGAATGTTCAGTTTTTTTTTTTTTTTTTTTTTTTTTTTTTTTTTTTTTTTAAGTTGATTAAGGTGCCCCAAGAAGTCCTTGCGGTCTTATCACTGAGCACCGCGAAAGAGAATTTACTAGGAAGTTCACGCTTTTCTTTCCAACCGATGTCTCAAAACTTGCCCAGAGGTGGGGTTTGAACGACGGATCTTACGTTTCTGAGGCAAGTGCGCTACCACTGTGCCACGGCTGCTTGTTAAAATCCATTAAAGCCACGGCTTAAATGCTGCGTGTTAAATCCATTTAAGTTAATATCAGTTATATTTGAGTCTTTTATATATAAATTTGATTCAGTAATTCCTATCACCATAGGGGAAGTCTTAAGAGTACCAATAAGACTACGGAGACTGTTGATATGTTGTGGTAAGAAAGCAATATTGAGATGAATATATATATATATATATATATATATATATATATATATATATATATATATATATATATATATATATATCAGTATCAGGATTTAAAAAATCATTTAATTCACTAACATCATATACAGTAAATAGTTGGATTACATATAATATTCATATCTCTATAAAGACTTTTTAGGTGAACAGGAGATTTAAGAGATAAACTTAAGTGGAAGATTCTTGCAAGTGTAAGTTTAAGTTCTACATCAAAAAAGCTACTAAATGGTATATTTTTGGAGATACAGTCAAAGCAATACCATTCTAAAGAGTAATTGGAGGTAATGTTATTTGTATGCTTATTGATTGCACTTTGTGTGAATTCAAAAAGAGCAGCAGTCACATTGAATAATTCTATGGTTCTTGGATGCATTTTTGTTTGCATAGTTTGTATTATTGTTTTATACCATATTTTATAAATTAATTTTTATGATTTACATATAAGTCTATTGGAAGTTTCTAAACATATAGAGATAATACAAACAAAATGATAAAGCAACAAATTGAAACGGTAAAGCAAAACGGAAATAATAAAGCATAGGGTTTAATGGATTAGGTTTGTAGTAGTAAGTCAGTTTATTTGTGAAATATATTATCAAGGTATATAGTATGTATATATATTATCTTTTTATAATAACATTTCAAACAAAGTTAAAAAAAAAAACTTTATATTATAGTCATAACTGAAAAAAATAAGTTCAAATAACTAAGTAATATTTTGCTTTTAAGTATATAGGGGTAATTAAGTCAAGCATCATTCTACTCCGCGTTTTTTACCTTCTTGTACAGTTGCTATATTAAACTGAAATAGTTTATAAAATCATTTTTTACAAAAAATATCTCTTGAGATTAAATGTCTTTTAATTATTGCAAAAAATCAATCGATAGATTTGATTAATTACTTTTCCCGGTACAAGGCAAAAT